TGCAAAGCCGCAGGAATGGCGGTAAATCCCTTCCATGTGTACTGATTTTTCGCTCTCCTCGCCAGCACCTGAAAATTAAGATAAAATGAGCAACAAAGAGAGTAATTGTAATTGCAATTGTAATTGTAATTGATTTTTGATGAAGTAAAAGAGAATCTTACTCCGACACTCTCCAATACGTTAACGATATCGTAGATCCGTCGCCTTTCGACGCCTAATCGCAAAGCGGCGTCGTCGAGACCGATTGAGCGGACATCTTCTTTGTTGTATAAGCTTAGGAAACTGCGAGATCGAGAAAAAGCGCGTTAGAAGTTGTGGATTGAATTGAAGAAAAGAGAAGAGAGAGAGAGAGAGAGGGGAATTACTTAGTGCAGAGGAGGCCGAGAGATTTCTGCTTTCGGCTGTAAGTGTGGTGCGTTGAGGAAGAAGACATGGAATGGATTAGGGCAGAGAGAGAAGAAGGGAACAATTCGATTTTAGGCGGCGGAACCAGCTTTTTCGAGTTTCTCAGAGCGGGAATTTGGATTTCTTTATTTCCTTAAATACTTTTCTTAAGGGTTTCAAGTTTCAACATAGCTTTGTACATTACTTACTTTTGACTTGAAAATATTTTGTTGAAATTTTTTTATATTTTAAATTATAAAAAAAAAGATAAAAAAAATACATATATCAATTGTTTATACTTTTTTCTAAACACTTGATTTAGAAACAATTTTCGAAGTTTAAAAGATTCGGATAAGAAAATTAATCGTTGAGTAGTGTGATTTTGTTTTAGAAAATACTTTTCAAAATAAAAAAACAAAATTGGAGGGAATCAAGCAAGTCATTTTTTTAATATTTAAAAATATCTCATAAAATGTTTTTAAAAACTAATTTTTAGATTGTAATAGTGGAGAAAAGAAGACAAGGTAAGATAAGAAAAAACACGAGTAACACATGCTTAAAAATAGAAAATCAAATGAGAAATAACATAAAGATAATTCCCCTCAAAAAGAAAAAATCTAAAGATAATTTGATGCTTTATTTTAAAATTTAGAAATTCGGCACGACATTTTAAAATTAAATTAACATTTTAAGTATGTAGACTGTTCGGATTAAATATTTATTATATAAATTATATTTAAAAAATTTACAATATATTTTTAAATATATAAATTAATCCCGATTCTTATATATTAAATATGAATAGTTATATGATATAAGACAATGTATTTATAGAATTTTTATTAACTCCTTATATATTCAATTTTTTATTTACTATTTTTTTAATAATTATCTTTTTCAAAAGAATATCTTTAAGATTATTTTTCAAAATGTTATTAAATATTATTTTAACTTTTTATCTAATTTAATTTTTAATTATAAAATTATATTTAATATTTTTTATAAAAAAATTATCAATAGCTAAAAATAACTATGTATCATAATTTAAATAATTTATCATAAACTTAAAATATAATCTATATATTTCAAAATATCTATCTATAGAAAATTTAAATATAATTTATATATTCAAATATAGTATTTATTTATTTTTATAATTTATTATAAATTTTTATTATATACAATAAATATTTAAGTTGTAAAATATACATGTTAAAATATTAATTTTATTTTATATTTATAATAAACAATTTATATTATGAAATGTTATTAATTTTAATTAATAATAATTCATTTTAAAAATATTAAATTTTAATTTATAAATAAATATGATAACTAAATTTAAATTAAAAAAGTTAAATGAACTCATACAAATAATCACATAAAAAAATTACCTAAAAGTTACTTCATTAAAAAAAATCTCAAAAATATATCTAATTGTATTCAATATATAAGAATAAATTTTGGAAAATACTCTTTCAAATAGGTTTATTTAGGTTTATTTAGTTTCTAATTTTCAAAAATAAATAAAAAATTTAATAATACAAAACAAATATTCTCTAAACTAAGTTTTTTTTTCACCAACAAAGATAAATAATATATAAATAATTGGTATAAGAGTTATCCAAAATTCCATGATTCAAAAGTTTTTTTACATGATTCATATTGGTTATAATCTATTTATATTTTTCATGTACTATATAAATAAAAGATAACCAAATTATTTTTAACAAAACAACCCTCCTAGTCCATCCCTACACACAATAAGTCTCTATTTTGCATATGACTCATATACTTGTTGGAAAAAGTATTTGTCCTCTTCAAAAGCTCTCAAAAGTCTTTAGCCTTCACATTGGTTGTTGTACTTATAAAAAGACTCTGATGTTTAAGTTAATAGGTGTTCAAAGCTTGTGTGTATATTCTCAAAAAATGAGCTTACCTTATGAAGTTGAAATGTAGGAGTTTAATATAGGAGAGGCATTGTTATCGTTGGTCGAAGAAACATTAAAGAGTAATCAAAATCTTTAATTGTCGTGTAATAATCAAATTTATACTCAAGCATAGAGTAATGGATCTCGACATGTCGAGGACTAATTGGTTTAAAAGTAACACCTACTCGATATATTGATTAGTATTCATACACATACCCTGTAATTGAGGTAGTAACAATCTAGGGCTCATGGTGGGAACCGAGATGTCTTCAGTCGAGTGATTTGAGACCTATCTAGTACACAAGCCCCAAGTTTTAAACTCTTTTGGATAAGAGTTTATTCAATATGGATTATCCTTTTGGCGGGAAAAGATTTTGTTCCCCTTTCAAATTTTGAACTCATTGTCACTAAGTATGCTGCTGTTTTGGGATACATAACGTCGAAGTCATTTAAGGAAGTGTAATGATGGCCTATCAAATACCCTATAAGTTTTTGGAAACCTAGGTGTGAAATGACACGAGAATGCGAAGATTTGTTTTCAATTCATTTGTTAATCTTGGAGAGATCTAATGGTTTGGAAAGGTGTGATGCTTCATTTCTTAGACTTCTTCATGCTTATGAATAAAATCCCTTAGTGCTCACAAGGAATTACCTACCACCTTTATCTCTCTATCACTTCAAGCATTTATCGTCATCTAATATGTATTTGGCAAGTATATCAATTGACATAGTAGTAAAGAGGAAAAAAGTCTAAGTATTGAATCCATAGAGACTTGGATTTATAGTTGTTTAACATAATATTCATACCAAATAGGCAAATTACTTAGAATTAAATTTATTCTGAAAGAAAATGTTTAATACAGTAGAATAATAATGAGATAGTAAATTGTCATGAGATTTAATTAATAATAAAAGTAGTTAGGGATTGGTTCATTAACTATCCCTATGTAAAATCTTTTTTTTTTTCCATTCAACATTGCAAGTATACAATTAATTCAACAGTCCATGATTGTATTTAAATGCTAATTTCTTAAGTGAGAAATTATAGGTTATTTAACGGAAATCTCAATTCCTTGGTAATTTTTGTTAAACAATCATGCATTAAGGTCAAGGATCAAAAGTCAACGGATGAGGTTTATCCCAATTTTTTGATAATAAATGTCATCGGTGTTTTAGCAAGGTTGTAATATAAAAAAGGTTTTCCAACCTTGATTAAAAATTATAAATTCATGATGAGGTTGATCAAGACACAACAAGCATTAAGTATAAGACTAAAATAATTAACTGAAAATACTTTATTGAATGAAAAATAGGGAGAAAATTACATAGTTCAAGTAGTTACTTCAATCCTCAACAATGGAAAAATTAGCAACTTATTAGTAAGGATTACAACTATAGATGAATTTTCAAGCAATCTGTGATTACAGTGTTGGTCTCATAGAACCCTCTTTAATCTTTCTAAAACTCTACTAAGAAATATGTATTATAATTTGAACTCTCCCCCTAAACCTCGAGAAATCCTAATTTTATAATAATTTATGATGGGTCTTGGATTGGATCCAGTCTCTAAAAGCATCTGTGTTGCTCGCTTTGAGCAACCAAGTGAATACTTTCAGGGGTGTCCTCTATCTTCAATTGTTCAGAGTGAATTTGTGGTAATTCTAAGCGAATTCTTCTCACTTAGAGTGCCTAAGAGGCTCGCTTTGAACGACCAAATGTCTGTTTTAAGTGTTGTTTCAATAGCTTGGAGTAAAAATTATGATCGAGACTTTGTAGCTTTGCAAATTATCTTATCCCTGTAATATTTTAACATAAAAAATACCTAGTATTCAAATAATTAAACTAAAATTAAATTATGTCTTGACTTAGAGTTTTGTGGCAAAAAAAAAAAGATTTAAAAGCATAATATATATCAATAATTGTCTAAATTGAATAAAATATGAATGCCTATTTGACAATTATCATTAGTCAATGAAACATTAAAGGACATTCAAAACCTTTAATTGTCGAGTAATGATTAGACATTACTATCTGCTAAACTCGATCACAAAGTAATGGATCTCGACATGTCGAGGACTACTCGATTTAGGAGTAATACCTATCGATTAGTATTCATACATACCCTATAGCCAAGGTACTAACCATCTGAGGCTTATGGTGAGAACTGAGATATCTTTGGTGAGATGGTGCAAGACCTATCCAATATAACAAAATTAAGGAACAAATCTAAAAAATTATGCTTGGGACCAATTCTAAGAATTAAAATTTATTAAATAAATATATAAAATATAAGTATTATATTTTATATGAAATAATTAATAATATATAATAAAAATTATATTTATATAAAATATAAACTAAGATCATAAATGTTAATTGTATCAACCCACCATGGTCCCTACACTAAACGACACAGTTACTAACAACAAAAAATAACTAACTTAAGATCATATACTTACAAATATTAAAATATGTATTATATCACATACATATAAAGATGAAACAACTACACAAATATGTGAAATATACATACAATAATTCTGTAAATATAAATATAGAATTAAGTTATCAGTCAAACAATTACAACTATCTATACAAATCCATCACAAGTAAGTAGTCATAAAAAATAATCCAGCTCCAATGTCATTGTATGGCCTCCACTACAATATTTTTGTCCTATCTTTGCCCTGCTCTCTTATCACATATGACTATCTCAATCCAAACCATATGAAAATATGTGAGGTTAAGCTAGAGTAAAAAGAAACAACATATATATACAACATAGGAACATCAACACTTTTAGTACAACATCACATCATCATCTCACCTCCAACACTGTTAACACAAGACATCACAATGTACAACACATATCAACACAATTTCGTTGACCCCCACATAATATTGACTCAACATCACAACATTCTCAACACAGTTTAATCATCATAGTAACACAATATTTTTAACACAATAATTACATGCGCCGTCACGCATTTAAACTAGGAGATCTCCCACAACACAGGGTGATCTTGGGCTCGCTAGATCAACAACAAATTGGATATAAATCCACAATACAACAACTCAATTTCTCGAATGTCACCACTTAAACAAGGAAGTCCAGTACCATTGTCAAAGTAGAACAACTGGGTTTTGGGCCTACCACAATATTAGTTAGCTTAATCGAGTCATTTATGGAATTAACTCATCGGCTATCTTCTAAGTACTATGCCTTCCGATACTCGCTTAGGAACTAAGTTCTTGACTTTGTACTTTACTCAATTGGTCTCTTTATACATGTGTATCTCAACCTTGCCCACACACAATATCAACCAAGTCCTAGAGGATACTTAACACAACTATCCACTTCAAGGGTTAACTTTCTCAAAATAAATTTGTCTCTTAGAGCACCATAACACAATATTCACACAATGAGATATTCAACTTTTAAAAACCTTTCCTCTAGTCCTAGGTTGGTTAACACAACTCAACAACACAATAACATTTTACATATTCAACACAACAACGAAATCAACATACAATTCCACATCTCACAACTTAATCATCACTACTCATATTCAACTTTTTACTCATCATACATCTCAATAACACATTAACATTATACGTATAAAATCCCAACACAACTACACAACGTACTACTCAACTCAACTTTCAACTACTAACTCACAACATAATCACCAACATACAAATTATCAATATTCAACATATAAAGTTCTTTATCATACAACAACATCCCTACAACTTATTCATCATCATTTAATTATAAACCAACTTAAACAACAAACTTTCAACATACAACTCATTCATTAAGCAAGCAACCAACTCAATTAGAAAAGAAATTTGTTTTACTAAGTCCCCATGCTCAGCACAAACTCTCACACTAAGCCTCAGCTTTTCAGAAATCTTAGCTCTCATGCTCAACATGAAACTCACGCTTAACCTCCCTCATGCTCAACTTAAAATCTCACTCTAAGTCTTAGCCTTCCAAAGGCACTTCCCAATTTTCATGCTCAACGTGAAACTAACGTTTAGCCCCAAAACTTAGTTTTTTCAACATCAACGAAGAACATCTCAAATCTCCAATTCTATCAACTTATGCAATAACCTATACCTGCGACCAAACCTTCCAATTTTCACAACATACAACTCAGAAATAAAAGGAAAAGCAACATGCATCAACCACAACTCAAAGAAATCATCAACACTTTAACCTTTCATCAAGAATTTCAAAACCTTGAATTTCAACATGCAACCCACTCGAATCCATCCCCACAACTATGAATTTCAAAAATTCTATCAACATGATGTTCTTAATTCATTTAACAACCCAACATTTCAACTAAAACCCAAGATTCCAATTTCCGTTACCCCCAAACAGAGTGAAATCAGGAAAGAACTTCGAGCACTCTGAGGTAGAAGAAAAGAAAGAGAAAGAAATGGACTATGAGCTCCAACAACTCAAGCTCCGCACCTACACCATGAGATTCTCAATTTCAAATTGCTTTGAATCACCACTAGCTACAAAGTCTCGAAGAAGAAGATAACAAAGCCTCCGAGTATGAATTTTCTCTTAAGAATATCTGAGAAAAAGAAAGAAAAGTATTTAGATCTTCAAAGTTCCTATCCCCTTTAAGTCATATCATACATTAATTGTGAGTTTTAATATCAATAATAATTATGGATTCATAATAAAAATTGATATATACATTGATTATAAGTTTTACAAAAAGAGTCCTATTATTTTGTTATAAAAAACTATTAAATAAAAATAAATTATATTACTTCATATTGTTTTTCCAAAAATAGAAGCTAATAACAAGAATTTTTTTTTTAATTTGTTAGAAAGTGAGAGTAAAAAAATATTGTGCATCTGTGATATTTAATATTGAAATATCATAAATTCAAATAGACACATACTGCAACTTAATATCGAATTTATCTTCTCAAAGTTTACATAATTATGTGTTCAAACTTATTATGTAGTTGAAACTAAAAGCACATTAGAAAAAAAAAAAACAAAAAAACAAAAACAAAAGTGACAAGAACGAGAGGATAAAAAAATAGTAGTAAAAATGTAAAATATTTATAACGTGTTTCAAAGTTTAAGTTATTAATCATTTATATCATACTCATAAGTTTGTTTCATCTATAAATATTAATAATAAATAATATTTAATTTTAAAATAATTATAATAAAAATCAATAAAATCATTTATTAGAAGTGTAATCATTTATAACTTTTAAATTAGTAAAAACAAATTATAAAAAGAAGAGTCTCTTAAAAATAAATAAATGATACTTAAATATTTTATCTAAATAAATTGAGAAATGAATAGATACTATAAATATATAAATAAATTATTTGATTTGCTTTTTCTCCCACACACCTTTGGTGCATCGCTCCACCATTTTAAGGCTCCTTTATTGTTCTTTTCCTCCACCAAAGCATGCCATCCACCATATCCTTCTTTTAGTACCTTCCCCCAAAGTTCTCTCTTATGATGAAACATTGAAACATAACCCATCTCCACTTAACCAACAAGGCCTCGTTGATATTTTTAAATCCTTAATACGTAATCTTCCCTTTTCTTTTGCCAAACAAATCTTCTCCAACTCATCCAAGGTATCATTTTGTTTGCATCTTTAGTACCCCATAAGAAATTCTTTTTATTGTCACTAACTTACTAACTACTGTACGAGATATATTAAAAAAAGATATAATTTCTAAATTGTGAAGAAATAGATGAATGAATTTTGTGTAAAAAAGACACAAAAACCTTATTTTTCACATTTATTTTTTTTATTAAAGATATTTTTATATGCATATTTATCTCTTTCTTTCTATTTTCTACATGACTAAATAAGAGGAGAGAAAAATTTTAACCTTCTTTCCTATTAAATAATTTAAAAGATCATCTCAGTTTCCATTACTTTTCATTCTTTTTTACTTTCTTCTCTATCTTAAACATACCTATCACTATGTTTGCTTCATAAAAGAAAGCAAATGTTAAAAAAATGAAAGTTTTTTCTTTTTAAAAAAATATAATCCTTCGGTTGATTAGTACGAGAAAAACTCAAAGGAATGAGAAGTATCAACTTTCTTTTCTCTTGTCTCATTAAATTAAAAAATATATATATAAGAAAAAATATACTTATAAAATACAAGAATATCCTCAACAATTAAAAAAATTATCAATGTTTTATAACTTAGATATTTTTGTCATTTTAGCTCAAATTCATAGTTCTTTATCCTTTTCTTTTCAAATTGAAAAAAAAAATCCACGAAAAGTTTATTTCCTTATTTATATACCACAAAACAAAAAAGAAAACATTTTTTTTCATTCTTTTCCTCTTTTTTAATTTTTATTTTATTTTTTTGTCGTTATAATTTCACTGCAACTAAACATAGCAACTGCATCAAAAGTATCTGATACCTCTGTTAGGTCAAGGCAAGTGAATTAAATGAACCTTTTATTACCTGTTCAAGAGAAAAAGGTAAGGAAAAAGAAATTTGAAATTAATTCGTACAAAAGAAATCCCCTGAAAATGAAAGGGAAAAGAATTTTGGTTATAATTGTTGGCATTTTCTACTATAAATCCTTCACACAAGTGATTCACGGTGGAGAAGTTAAGAAATGTCTTTTATATAAGTGACCCATTCATTAACCAATTATTTTAAATCGTAGGATATATTTATTAAAATAATAAACGATTCATATTTAAAACTTGGTTTTTAATGATAAATTTTTTTGTTATTGTATTAATTTTATTTCTTGTAGGTAAACGTCAATTTTGTCCCAAAAACAATCTGACTGACATTGTATCTTCTTCTGAAAAGCTTTCATCTCGATGAGGGCTCCATGGTTGGATGGAGGTTGCACGTGGTGTAGAAGAAATGTCCATGGTCTCGATTTTTTGCTCGACATCATGTGCTAAACCAGAGCTTAGCAGCATTGAAGTTGGAAAGAGTTTCATGGTGGCAATCATGAGAGAGACAGTCGACATTAGCTACAACAAGGTGGAAGTCTTTGAGGTGCTCGAAACGATGGAGTTAAGGAGATGGACTTGGATTTTAAAATGTTATAGTGGAGCCTAAAAATCTTGAGATTTGAGAGAAAGTTGTAGAGGGAGAGGAAGTGTGGCGACAAAGGTGGGGATTGCGAGATTATCCTGTGACCACGAGAAAGGGCATCTTGAAAAAAGTAACAATACATCTATTATTAAGAGAAGTTTATTAGAAATCTCATGTCTTTTAAATAAATAAAGTTCTCCACAATTGATAATTTCCCAAATTTCCCTACCTTAGGATGGGCCTTAATTGTCTTAACATTCCATTTGTAAAATCAAAAGACGAATCAAAACTCCGGAATATTTTTATTAAACAAACAAAATAAGTCTTATATTATTACAAGCTTTATGAAAGACTGCGCATTTTCGTTAGACATGATCCCATCGTTTAATACAAAGGAAACAACGAAATAAGTGGAACTAGAGATCATTAAATGGCCTTCAAGCCATAGGACATGAATTCACCGAGGCTAGGAACAATCTAAAGAGTTTTAACAACCTCCCAAGGCTTGAGAACCTAGGAGTATAAATATCCAAGAAATGTGAAGCATGAAATCACTTACATTAGACAAACTCCTTGTAGCTCTAAGAGTCCATGAGGTTTCTCTAGCTTTACATATTGAAGAATCAAGTCATAAAAGCAGAGGTTTTTCTTTTTTTTTGGGTAAATAAGCACAGGTTTGAGAAGAAACATACTCAAACAGTTTCTAAACTTCGTATGAAAGAATCTGAAATACGTTCTAGTAGATCAATAGATGATGAAGTGACTCCCGTAACCAAAAATAAAACTTTAAAAAGGTGCTAAATAAGGAAAATATAAACATTTTTTTGAACAAAAATGACACGTACAAGAAGCCCCAAAAGATTCGATAATCAGACAACGTCAATAGTAACAAGTTAAAAAAAAGAGCTTCCAAATAAATTACGGTTACAAGGTACCTAGACACTAGTATCCTTTTCAGTTTTCACAAGAACCTTGGGTATGAAATTAAGAGTGAGTTCACAATTAGTTAAAAATAATTAGCAAGATGAAATTTAAAAAGAAAATAAATGAATAAAATTGATAGAGAAGTTGGGTTTGTTTCAATGCTCAAAACATAATGTAAGAAACTATTCATTAATAAAAAGCATTAATCCATAAACTTGTTATATTCAATTACAGTAACTATACTTGACTACAAAATATTAGTTCCTTTTACCGATTATGTTTTAGGTTTAGACCCAATTAAGCAGCAAATCTCAATTGAAATCAAATTCTCTCCTACAATAAACACCCACGATATGATTGATTTGAGAAGAGAGCAAAAAACATTATTGATTTTTGAACTTCCAAACAGAATCCTAAACCTCACAGCCATGCATTGCCAGAAACTCATTTTCTTCAACAGAAGATACTCGCTAAACACCTCATCCAAATGGTCAATTCAAATAAACCTTTCTTCGACTGAAATCTCAAATAGATCATAAAATACATTCAGATCAAATATTTGAAACCGAAACTGGGGAATTCAATACAATGTGCAAAACCAAGATTCTAGAAATAGAATGTGAACATAAATCAACTCAAGCAATAAAGAAAACAACGATTAAATTCATCACGTTAATAAACAACAAATATAAAATTTTCAACTATTGATTAAGGAGTTTGGCAATTAGTAACACATGAGTGGATGATAATTCATCAAACAAAAGAGAAGAGCAAAAGGTCAAAAAATTTGTCCAGCAACAAATCAATTGGTTTAGGCATTCTGGCACTGATTTAAATTGTAACAAACTAGGAACAAGTTTAGTACTTCACTTTATTTTCAATACAGTTTCACCACAAATTGTTGCGGCAAGCATATTGACAGCATTAAAACAGCAGCAACCAGCAATGCATCAAATCAAATCCAGCAGTATTGTATTTCCCAACCACAGCATACACACTGTTCGGCTAGAGAAAATAACCACATTCTGTTTTCTAAATGCAAAATAAAAGCTGTCTTTAACATAAGAGAATTCACATCTTACATAAACCATTGTTTATTCAGAGCAACTTAGCTTCGACTTGTGTCAGCGAAGAAGTTGTTGATGTTGGGCATAATCTCTGGTTGTCTGTTGCGGACATACTTCCTCAGGAAATGCTCTGCATACTTCTCTCCCTCAGCAAAGTTCTCCAACACTCCAGCCTTTCTTCCCTCTTTGCTCACCCTAAATATATGACAAGAACAAAACAACCATCGATTATTTTCCAATAATGAACGAATCATTAATACCATTCAATTAAATTAACCAAAAGATAATTGAGGCTTCTGCAATGGATAATTAAATTAACCAACATCTGATGATGAATGAGACTCGATGTCTGATAAAAATTAATCAACTTTTGTCTTTATAGTTGAGGCTTGCTCCCTCGAGCTACTATTTGGATTGATTCAACTTATTTTAAATAATAGCTAATACACAATTAGATCCTTGAAAGTTGAAAGTGACATCCTCTTTTTTGTCCGGAATGGGATGAGTACAATTAAGTCCTCAAATCACACTTTAGTCCTTTTTACAACAAATAGATGATCAAAATACATTCAGAGATTAAATGGTACATATTTACACTTTTGAGGACTTATTAGTCCTTAATAAACTAAAATACGATAGAGTTAATAGATTTAGGGACCAAATTGTATATACCAAGACTTTCAAGGACTAAAGATGAATAGGTTGTCACTTTGAAGGACCAAAATGCATATCAACTTTATAAAAAAACATAAAGTACTTATTTCTAAACCTAATCCTACTCTTTGCCCCTTCCCTTCGCTATTTTATCTTTAACACGCATACCAATTCATTTTTTTTCTTTTCTAAATAAGCAATTCTAATAATCAAAACTCACACAGGGTCAGAGTAACAAGCGAAAAAAATAACCCAAAATCAATAAGTATAAACCCCCCAATCGCTGATTATTCGGAAATAAGAGGAAACAATACAGCGTCCAAACAAAAAATCAATAATTTCAACGACCAAAACCTACGACTAAAATAAAAGAAACTAATTTCAACGCAGAAGAGGAGAGAGCAAGAGATATACCTGACTTCGGGGTTGATGCAGATGTTACGAACCAGTTGGAAACCACAGATTCCAACAGCAACACCAACCGCGGCGAACAGAGGATAGACCTGGAAAAAAAACACATAAAAACGGTGAAACCCTAAAACGGAAATGGAATTTGAGATTCCGATTATAGATCGAAACGCACCTCGGGCCTGAGCCAGCGATTTGCCATGAGTAGTTGCGGCGTTGAGAGCTGAAAAGGGTAAAACGGCGGAGAGAGAGAGTGGTTGCAATGCAAAACGACGGAGAGAGAGAGGAGTGAGGAGTGAGGAGTGAGAAGGAGTTTATGAAAAGACTGTGGGCATTTAAATATTGTGTAATTTCAATGAGACGCAACCCTATTGGTTGTTGCAACTTGCAAGGGTAACCATACCGCGTTCCTGTTGGGCTTAAGCACGCGACTCGATACGCTGCAAACTAACACCAATCATTAAACGCCACCTCAATATTTGATTACACTACTTTTTTCACTTACATAAATAAAAACTTAGATTATAAACTTTACTTGTGCATGTGCATGGAAAGTTGGGATTAACTTTCATATAGTTTGAGTTGTAATAAAAAATTAATTTGAATTGATTAAATTTAATTGATTTAAATTTTATAAAAAAAATTTCTAAATTTAAATCAAATTAATTTGATGTTGATTAGATTTATTTGATTTGAATAAGTTGATATTTAATAATTTTAATAATAAAAAAATAAATAAAAAATAATTTTTATTGTTAAAGTAAATAGATTTTTTTAATATTAACTAAATTGATATAATATAAAAAAATTAACTAAATTGATAAATTTGTAATATAATTTTTTTTCTAAAATTTTTCTTATTTTACTTGATTATTTCAAATGTATTATAATATGTAAAGATGACATTCAATATATTATATAATTCCTCTTAATTTCTTAAAGTATTTGAAAAAATGCTTGGAAAATTTTACATATTATGATACAAAAAAGTCTTCAAAATAATCCTAATAATAAATTCATATTAATTGTTAACCAGATAAAAAATAAAAAATAATAATATGTAAATTAGTTAGTTTGGTTCAAATTTTAAATGTGTAAATTTAATATCTAAAACAATTAACATTGAATTTAATTGGTTTGATTTAGGTTAGATTCAAACAAAAGAAGATCCGAACCAATTTCATTGATTCAATTCGGATTGTTGAGTTCGTTTGATTGATTCGATATGATGAACTAATGAACACTCCTACTTACATCTACGTAAAATATAATAAAATATTGTTAAAAAAAATTAGATTAACAAAGACACTTATTAGTCTTAAACTATCTAATAATTTCTTAATATGGACATTATGATAATTGTACTTGCATACTATATATACATATACACACACACATATATATATATATATATATATATTGATGAGTTAAACATGTTTTTAGTCCCTATTATTATGTGATCATTTTTAATTACTTATTTTTTTTATTAAAAGATTAAGTGATCATCTTAGATGTTACATACAACTTTTAATGGTATTATGTTTGTATGCAATACATCTAAATTGTTTAAAGATCTTTAAAATAAACGTTATTTATATGTCTTGAAATCATCATTAGGAACAAAAAAGAATTAGTAATTTAAGATTTTAAAATACTTAAAATCAAAGAAAAAAATAGTTTATAGGGTCCAAAATCAAAATTTACTCATTTTACAACAACAAACAATACTTTACAAGAACTAGAAACAATGTTTACAAAACTTAAAAGGATGAAAAACAAATAAAAATTTTATAAAGACCAAAATCAAAATTTACTCATTTTATGCGAAATAAAAATATATTTAAGTCTATTTTGATTTAAATTATTGGATAACATTAATATTAGGCTAAATTGCATTTTTGATTTTTCTACAAATATCATATCCATACTTTTGGTTCATTTATTTTTTTGCAATTTTAATCTTTCAATTTCATTAAATTTGTAATTTTGGTGGTCTCATCAAATGTTCATCCATTAATTATTAAGTAAATGATACAATTATTAATTAACACCTTTAAAACAAAAACCAATCATTAAGAGCTAGCAAATTAGTGAAATGTGTGTTATGGCTATTGTCCAAAAGTAGAATATATATATATATATACACGCATATACACAAGGATGGATCTATTTATTTTAGGAGCAAGTTTATCTAGACTTACTTCACTCAATAGTTCATGTTTTACATATAATTTTAACGATTCAACTGTTGGATTAAAAGTTTTAAATGTATAAATTAAGACTGCAAAGTATTAAAAATTTTGAAAATCATTTGATACTCAATTTCATTAATTCAAATTAATGGACAATCATGAAAACATTTTATATGTTGATTTGAATTAATAAAACGAAGTATCAAATAATATTCAAATTTTTTAAAACTTTGCATATTTGTTTTATGTATTAATAATTTTTAATTTGATGATTGGATCGTAAAGTTTTTAATTTAATGTGTAGTAATGAGTGGAGTAAATCTAAATAGACTTACTCTTAAAGTGTATATATGTTTGTGTGTGTGTGGTATGCAAGTACAATTGAAGATAAGGAACACTCATTACAACACATTAAAAAAAATCCAAATCTGTAATAGAAAATACATATAAGTTAAGATAATTTTGTTGGAATACTTAAACAAAGTGAACAATCATTTAATGTGTTTTTGGGTGATGAATTTAAATGGAGTAATTCATTTTTTTTAAGAATTTCAAATGTTTTTGGGTAAAATGCCTTGTTTGAATGGAGAATTTTCAAAGAATTTGAAATTCGAACGTTTGTAAATTTCTTTAAAATAGTGTAATTTTAAAGTCTCCCTAAAAGTAAGAATTAAAAATTCTTTATATTTTTCTTTCTTATTGTGAGATCTTGACTTAAGGGGGAGATGAACTTCAATAACCAAACACTTCTCTTTTTTTTTCCTTAGATTCTTAAGGGAAGATTTTTGAGACTTAAAGCTGAGAATCTCCTAGTGTAGCTGCAAGGCTTGAGTTGTTGGAGCTTAGAGCCCATTTTCGTCTCCTTCTCTTCTTCCATCTCAAAGTAGTATGAAGTTTTTTGTTTTCTTCTTCTTCCTCCTCGAAAAACTTGGAATCAAGGTAAGGAAAGCTAAAATCTTAGGTTTTGCTGAAATGTTGCTTTGTTGAATGAATTGAGAGCTTAAAATCAGTAGGATTTATGAAAATTTGAAGTTTGGGGAATGAATTCGAGGTGATGGCATATTGAAAACTGAGGTTTTGGTTTTCTTGGTGGAATGTTAAATGTTGATGAATTTCTTTGAATTTTTGATGCATGCATGTTGAAATTCTTGTGGTTTTTGGGTTGCATGAATGAGTTTAGTAGGATTATGAGTGTAGATCATGTTTAGGGCGAAAATTGGTGAAATGCAGTTGAGGAACAAAAAAGGGAGCCATAAAAGTGTAGAAAATGTGAGAGAGAAAATGGGGTGCCAGAGATCCAACGTTGTAGCATTGAGTTGAGTGTTTCAGCCTTGGGAGAAAACTGATATGGCAAAGATCTAATGCTACAGCCCTAGGAAGAAATGGAGCTGGCAAAAATCCAGTCTTGAAATGCTGACTTGAGCGCTACAATGCCAAGGGTAGATGATCGAACTTTGTATTAAGATCTGCATTTAAATTGTAGCCTTGGATGTTATCTTTCCAATGACATCAGAATCACCTAAAAAGGAGGTCTAAAACTCCAATTATGACCTTATTAGTGAGCAAAGGTTAAGTTATCAGCATTTAGGCAAATTGTTGTGGTTTTTACAATTTTTAACATGGTAGATAAATGAATTAAAACCTGAGTTCTTCGTGAAAGTTGTAGAAAATCTTCTTTTCTTTCATATGATATGAAGAATAACATTATAAAAGTAGTATAATTTCTTGTGCGTCATTTTATGTGAAGGTTGTCAGTGTAGGATAAATGATTTTGATAAGTTGTATGTTGATACATGTTGTATGATGGGTGAATTTGGTGAACATGAATATAATACTTGTGTCTATTGCATGTTGTACGATATAGAATGATGATAATAAGCATTGGTATGTTATCTTTGTGTACTTGAATGATAATTAGTATGTTATTTTTGTGTAGTTAAAATGGTGATGAGTATTAATATACTATTATTGGTTGAGGTGTTAAGCATTGATATGTTATACATGATTGATGTTATTGATCTTTATATACATTGATTGGATGTATATAATAGATGCATGGTGAGGTGTATATGTTGAAAATGCGGTGTGATATTAAAACATGATGGCTAACTTAGGATTGGAGGAAATAATTATTTTGAAAATTGAAGATCTCACACATGATATCTTGGAGTGGTGCTCGGGTAGGCTACTGTTTGGAAAATACTCATTGAGTAGGTGTATCTCTTGGAGTAGGTTTTGAGGTGTGTTAAGACTCTTTCACGTCCTTAGTTAGTGGTTGAGTAAGATAGGAGGTCGAGGGCTATAACCCTTAGCCAAGTACTTGGAAAGGTTGCGTGGTTCCTTAAGAATAATTAATGGACGAATTTCATACATGACTTGGTAATACATGCCTAGGTCGTGGTAAGCCTATATCTAGCTATACTACCTCTGATGGTGAAACCATACTTTCATAGTGTAAGTGATGAGACCCGAGAAACCAGAGGAAGGATTGATATCCCATTTTGTTGTGATCGAATCGATGCTTCGAATGTGAAGACGATTGGGTTGATTTTGTAGGGTGGAAATCACTTAGACTACTCATGTTGTTAGTAGATCTCTGTAGGTGAATGTGTGATGACGCATTAGTTGATATGTCTGCATATGATGTATGTCAAGGTTTGTTCATGTGCATTGTTGATGTTTTGTGAGACATGATTGGATGAGGTACATGGTTTGCTTCAAGTTTGTTAGCTTTCATGTATGATATATGGCATGATGTTGTATATTATAGACTTGCTTGCTATATGTATATATTTTCAAACTTTAGCTTTCCCTTTTTGTTTCCATGGTGATTTAGACTACGATGATCATACATTATATGAGAGCAAATTAGGGCTAGGCTTTGAGGAACTATTGCATACAAATGTTGTGATCTTTTTTTATGACAGTACTACTGATGTGTCTTGTATAGGTGTGCTCAATCAACACTAGGACGTATGATTATTTGGGATTACTGTATACATGTATATATCATGTTTATATCAATTTATTCGTTTTACTTACATACTCATGTTATATATATATATATATGTTATGTTCCTTCCATTAATCATGTATGTTCTAGTAATTTGGTTTTCGTTGTCATAGTAGTGATTCCATA